TATGGCTGTTGTCACTAGTACGGACCAGCCTGCAAGGCTCTGACCGCAGGAACGTGCCCATGCAGGGCAGGGTTCCTCATGGCTCCCATAGTGACTCCATAGCAGGGAGCTGAAGGAGGCGTGTGAGATGCCTTCATGGGAGACCATGATCTCTTGGATCCCATGTGTTTTGGCAGTGAGTAGTGCCGGCGTGGTTTGGCATGTCTGTGGTACTGGAGCACAGCGCAAACATCCCGGGACTGGTCTGGATGGGTCAGTCCCCAGGAAGGAAATGTTGGATCCTCTTACCAACATCTTGAAATTCATTAGCTTTTTTTTTTCCTTCTGGGAAGTGAACACATGTGGGAATAGCAACCTCTTGATCATGAGTTAAGTGAGTAGATAGGACAAGACATGTTTGTTTATCAAAACACTAATCCGTGCCAGGGGGATGGGATCGGGTGTGTTCTGGGCAACGGGCAAGGCAAAATAGCCCGGCTGCAATAAGCGGGAGCAAACACAGCTGTGTGTGCCCGTGCGCCCTGTTAATTTGAGCTAATCACTTCGGGGAGTCTCTGCTTCAGATTGCTTCCAGAGATTCAGCGCCCTTTATTAATCTGCATTGATAATTGCAGCTTTAACACTACTAACTGGGGAGTTCTTAGGAAGCAGAGGCTCTCCTAGAAGATCTCTGCAGGTATGATCCCTAGGGTGAGGTCCATAGTCATCCTGTGTCTTCACCAGGGGACTGGAGAATGATTCCAGAAGGTGTTTTGGATCTGCAGAAATAACCTGGACTCGTTCCTGCAAAAGGCGCTTTAGCATGGCTGTATCTGCAGGAGAGGAGACCTCCTTGGGGATGCAGCATCGTGGGTCATGCAGTGACTCTTGCAGAACAGGCCCCGGGTTGTTCCCGAGGTTAAAATGCAGTCTATTATACCCTTGGTGTTTGTATTTTAAAGGACAAGTTCAGGTTGTGAGAGTGGAGAATGCTATAAATGGTTAAAAGGTAGGGAGAATAATTTGTGCTTGGGAATAGGAGTGCTCATCTTGCCTCTTCATCAAAAGCTAAACTTCTTAAGTGTATATTTCTTTGTCAGGGAGGAAATGGTGGGTATCTAACAGCTCCTTGGTCTATCCAGTAACCCCAGTCTGGAAGCTAATGTCGAATGAGTTCACTCTAGAACGAGGCATGGGTATATAAGTATATATTTTTTTTATGAACTGCATTTAATCACTGGAACAAACACTGGAAGCAAACAGGCTTGTCCTTGTCTCGACACCCTGGGTTGAGGCTGCCCTGGGAGGGAGCTGGATCTTGACGAAAGCGCATTAGGCTCCGCACTGAGAGAAGCGGATAAGATTAATGGGCTGTGACACCCGGCAGGTCAGTGGCCATGGTCTCATGGCCCCTGGTGGCTTTTAGCATCATGAAGATGTGGTGTGTGGCCAAGGCAGGGACAAAATGAGACATACGGGGCAGATGGGTGGTGGTCTTCACTGAAGCACCCTGTGAGCTTGACTGTCTTGGAAGTAGAAGGGTGGTGAGTGCTGCCCTCCTGGCTTGCAGTAGTGGGAGCCTCTAGGATGCTTTAAAAGGTGGTGCTGGCTGCTGTCAAGAAATGATCTTGCCTATGGGACTGGGAGACTGGGGTGAGACATCCAGGGTACGTGGCAAACGCCTGGGTGCTGTTAGCTCTTCACACCTTGGCTGGAAAGATTGAACCTGGCTCAGCTGGATCCCACAGCAGAGAGGTGGCTGTGAGCTCTGGTGTTTCGGTGGCCATGGGTTGTCCTCCCTGGCTGTCGCTACAGGGGTTGGTGCTGTATTTGAGGTTCCCCGGGCTGGCAGAGCAGTGCCTGAATGGCACTTGGCTCATAGCTCCATCTGTCTTTCCCTGAGATGGGAGCTCTGCTGCCGTGATGGACCTGGTTGCTGCAGAAGACCATGGGGCTTCTTGCACTCAGTGCATACAGATGTGACCCACTGGATGGGCACATTCCCACCCTTCCTGGGAACTGGTGCCTCCAACAGCTGCTCCAGGTTCTCTCCAGCAAGAGAAGCTTGGAGGCTTCTCTCCAGCAAGAGAAGCTCAGGCCGTTTCTCCTCCAGGATGAAATGTTCACCCTACCCGTGGCCTGGTGCAAGCTCCACACGCAGACTCCATATCTCACCCATGCAGGAACAGTGTTCCTATGTCAGCCAGAAAGTAGGTGTGCAAAGAGACCATGCAGACGTTAAGCTTGTTAGCGTCATTCCCGGTGCCTGCAAAGGCATCCATAGGGTCTGCCAAATGCATGGAAACATGCAGGATGGTCTCCTCAGCATCATTTTCTCCCAACTCCGTGATGGGCCATTCAAAATGCCTGCTCAGAAAAAGAGAATTTGTCCACGGGACTGAGATTCAGACTGCAACTCCTGTGCCTCTTGCTGCTGGGTCATTGGGACAGCCCTCATTTTGTCTTATCCTGTTTATCTGAATGAAGCAATTTGTAAGGACGTTTTCCGTGAATCGATATATCCATCCTTGTATTGTGCCTTGGAGGTTTAATTTGCTCTAGATACTGCACCAAATATTTCTTTGTCCTGAATTGCTCTGCAGAGTCCTGCCTTAGAGAGAGAGGAAGGAGAAATGGCTGGAATTTCTGAGAATATGCCATGGAGATCTGATATTTCTCAGCCCTTCTTAAAGTTGCGTCTCCCAACATGGGCTAAAGAGATGAGGGAGGGTGTATGTGAAATAGTTGCTCTAGGTATGTGTGTGGAGCTTGAGGAATTTGTACACGTGCCAAGCAATTCCTGATGTTACAAGTCTTGGGGAAACCGAAGCCAAAAATAAAGGGAGGGAGGGAAAGCTTGCCTTTTGAACGATACCACTGCTAGGAAATCTCAGTTACAGGTACATTTCCCTTTCATATTTCAGTGTGGCATTTCCTGTCAAGAGGAATTGAAAAATTCCTGTTGCACCGCACCACATCCCCTTCCGAAAACTGCTTTGGCAAGCCAAGGAACATGCATCTTTTGAAAGTGATATGTGCATGTTTGTTTAAGAAGCCCTACCACAGGATCTGCTTGGAAAAGGAGAGTTTAAAAACACAGCTCTGCTCTACATGGAGAAGGCAAAGATAACACTAAGATCCCCAGTCCTGGACTTGTTCCCATTGCTTTATCCATTGGAGCATCTTAGGGGCAGTTTAGCAGGGCTGGAGCAGTGACTGTGGATGGATTCTCTGCAGAGACCTGGGATGTTTTGGGGACCTCTGAACGGATCTGATGTGGGCTGGATGCAGGGATCCTCGAGGGCAGGTCTAGCCCTACTTTCCATTTTGCTGTGCCTGCGCAGCCTGTGCGCCACGGGAACCCTCTGCTCCCCATTTGGAGTGCTTTTGAGATCACTTTGCAGCTCTTCGAGATCAGAGCTTGCTCTGGAAACCCAGAAATGTCCCCAGCACCAAAACACACCATGAGGAGTGCGCACGGTCTCTGGTTCTGATTTCCTTTGTTGCTGCCAAGAACCGTTGGGTTGCACCCAGTGTTTCAGCACGATGCCCTTTCTTTTGTTCCTGAGTATTGGGAAAGTCTGTGTGTGTGTATATACAAAAAATGCATTTGTGTATTTTTAACATAGCTGTTTGTGAGTTATTGCACTTGGAGCGTGGGGCTGCCTAGCAGAGGAGGGACGTTTCTGCCAGTCACCTGCCTATCGGACTGACATCCTCGCAGTGTTCCTGGTAGTTCAGCTCTGCTTGCACCAGGTCAGAAGAAAAGGATTGTCAGGGAGTGAGCCAAAACCTGTTGAAGACTATTTAGAAATGCTCCTTCCAACGTGAAAAGGCTTCAGAATAAGTCTTTCTTGGCACAAGTGGAGGAACCTGGTTGCTCTTAGTTGAATCACAGCCTGGCCCAAGGCCTTTAAGGTGTGTGTCCATCTTGTGGTCCCTATTGCTGTTTCTCTGCACCCATGTTGATGTGTACTGTCACCTGCATGTCCTTGCATCAATAAAAAAGACACAGCCTCTTGCTGCCTGGCTCAGTATTGGCACATTGGACCTGAAGGCAAAGTCAGAGCATCGTCATGCCCGAAACAAATGGGAGCAACCACCTAAAATGGTCATTTGAAATAATCGCCTCAATGATTTCTCCTCCCTTTCCTCCCTCCATGTTCTTCCTCTGGCCCTGTGACCTTCACCGCCCAGGGGCTGGCTGGATCCATTCAGGATTTATGGTAAAAGGGAAATTTTATGCGTGTAATTAAAACGTGGCATTGCTGGGTAGAAATGGGATTTGGTGCTTATTGCTGCGCTGCTTTTCTCACGCGTGAGGTTGAACTGATTGATTACGAGGTCTGAGATTAAATATTCCCCCGAGCTCTGCTGGTATTTAATGGGGTGGGGGAGGGCAAGGAGGAAAAGGATGGTTTTCCTCGGAGGCGAGGAGAGCTGAGGAACATCGAGGTCGGGCGTTGCGGAGGCTGCGGGCGCTGCAGGAATAGATCCAAATCCGATGCTTTATGCCGTGCCCGCGCTGCTGGTGGGCTTCTTGCTCCGAGCCAGTCCCTGCCTGGCTACCTCCCTTTCCCATGGGAACTCACCTTATTTACTTATTTTTTGTAATTTCTTCCAACCCCTCCAATTTTTAGCCAGCCCTAGGACACACCAGCGTTTGGGGGCGTTTGGGGCGTTTCGCCACGTGCCTCGGAGAAACCCATGTTTACCTGCTCCTGGAATACTTCCCTTGAAGTCTAATTTTAGCTAATGGGGCCAGGATCCCCGGAGGGAGCAGCGGAGATTTCCTATCGGTGCAGACCTCAAGGAACCCGCACGCAAACAAAAGCAAGGCAGAAGCACTCGGGTTTATTTTTGCAAATTCTTTTGCAAAGGGTGTGCCGTATTTTGGGAACGTGGGCACGCACCGGCTTTGTTCTCCAGTAGTCTGGCCCAGGCGGGTATTTCAGGTCTTCCAAGATGCAATCAGAATAATTAGTTACTGTCTGTTTGTACCTTCTGTTTTTGTTGCAGACTTTCCAAAGGGCGGATTTCTCTTTTGTGAGCGCTGCCTGAGTGTCGCTTAATCGTGAAGCATCTGATTTCCTCCCGGTTATCTGTCATGCTGCTTATGTAAGTACAAAAAAAACCAACAAAAAATCAATGTGGGGGGTGGATTCTGCTTGAGGGGTTTTGGAAAGATTATTCCTTGTTGCCGCTGGTTTAAGTGCAAGCCCTGCTTGGTTTCCAGCCTGCCGTGGGATGATCACAGGACTATATGTTTTCATTGGCACTTAATGACCCAGCGGGTGTAATGGTGTTGCTTTGGGCCAAGCCTTTGTGGATGTCCCAATGAAGTGGCTGGATCAGTGTCACTGGGTGGCATTTTGGGGAAAAAAACCCACCTTTTTGCAGAAAGAGCGAGCTCCTGCTTGCGTTTGTGCCGTTTTGACGCCTTAGCTCTGGGGCATCCCTTTCTACCTACCGAAAAACACGCCTCTGCCGGGAAGACATTGCCGTTGGTTTGCCAGGATTGGGAACCAGGCTGGTTTTCAGCTTTCCCTCGCATGTGTGGTGCAGGAAGGAGTGAGATGGTGGAAAAAGGAGATGTGAAGGAGACATGAGGGCTCCGAACGAGCGGATAACGCGACGTTTCTCCTTCCGTGGCTCTTGCAGGGCTGCGAGTCCCAAGCACAGCTGTGGCGGGCGATAGATGCGGATCTGCTGGCTTGGGCATCCCAGAGAGGATGCCGTAAATTTTCTCCTGCCTGCTCCTGCCTCGGGGGTCAGGCCCTGCACGCTTTAATTAGCTCTCGTCAGGGATTACAGACATGGGAAGCTCATTACGGGGCAGGCGCTGGCGCGAGGCCTGCTGCGGGACGCAGTGCAAATAGGCCGGTGTTTCCCATGTGCTTTTCCACAATAACAGTTGCCGACGTGGGATGCAGGTTCCCTCTTCCCGGCTGCATCCCAGCCTCGTTCCAGCGGCTCTGAGGCCTCTGGGAATGGGCGCTGGCTCCATCCCACGGTGCCAAACAGAGCGGTGAGGCCTGGATGGCGGCAGCGCATCCTACATTCCCCGATGCCGCAGGTCTCCCAAGCTGCCCTGGCTCTCACCGTCGGCTTCTATTTTCCCAATGACATTTACTGAGCGTGAAAGCATTTGCTCTTTCGGTTATCTGAAATGCTCCTTCAAGAACTGTGAAGATATTTTT